CCCAGGGGGTGACAGGAGGCAGCGGTGGCTGGGGTGGTCCCCAGAGCCTGGCTGTGCTTCACCGGTGCTGCCGACTCCAGTCACCCTCCTGTCCCAAGGGTTGTGCCGCGGTGACAGGGTGCTGGGAGAGGTGTTGTCGGAGAGCGGGTCGGTGCTGGGGTTGCTCGTCGGCTGCGTCAGCCGGGGCTGGGGCACCGCCCCGGGGGGGCGGCACCCCGTCACCCCGTCACGGGGCTCGCCATCCCGCCCCGCGCGGGCGCCAGGTGTCTGCCTTGCTGCATTGCTGTGGGCGGCGGGAGCACTGCGGCGCCTCGAGGCCTGGGCCGGCCGCCTGTCCCCGTGTCCGTGTGGATGGCTGCACAGGCGCCCGCCTCCCTGCCGCAGCTGAACGCTGTGAGTGCCGCCTGACGCTCCCCCGCGCCGGTGCATCTGGGCTGCGGGGTGTCCTGGCCACAGTGTTGTGCACCTTGCGGCTGTGCTGGCGCAGGGGTGTCCCTGGGGCCAGCTCTGCAGGGTGACTTGCCGCGGTAGCACAGGCGCTGGGTGCTGGCATTGGCGCTGGCCAGGGGGCTGGTGTTGGTTTCTAGGGCATCTTGGTCACCATGGCTTTGGGTACCGCGTTTTGCTGTGTCGGAGGGCGCTGAACTGCCGCGTCAGTGCGGGTGTTTGGGCACTGCGGCTGTGGGGCAGCGCTGTGGCGGTGAGTAGCTCTGAGGGTGTTGGGTAGCTCTGTGAGTGTTGAGGTGCTGCGTCTGTTGAGTGCTGCAGATGGGTAGATCTGGGGGTAGTAGGTACTGCGCCTGTTGAGTGGCTCTGCGGGTGTTGGGGACTGCAATCATTGGGTAGCTCTGCGGGTGTTGGGTAGCTGTGGGTGTTGGGTAGCTCAGAGGGTGTTGGGTGGCTGGTGTTGGGTTCTGTGTTGGGTAGCTCTGCACATGTTGGGTATGGCGGCTGTTGGGTACTGCAGCGGTTGGGTAGCTCCACTGGTGTTGGGTACTTTGTGGGTGTTTGGGTACTGAGGCTGTTGGGCAGCTCTGTTGGTGTTGGGTGTCTCTTCTGGTGCCAAGTGTCTCAAGGGTGTTGGGTGTCTGTGTTGGTGCTGGATATCAGTCAGTGCTGGTGTGTGGGTACCTCTGCAGGTGTTGGGTTTCCACCAGCTCAAGTGCCAATGTGGGTGTTGGGTGTCTGGTTGTTGGGTGCCTGTGTGTGCGGGTGTTGGTGATCTGTTGGTGCGGCTGTTGGATGTCCCTGTAGCTGTGGCCAGGTACCAGCAGGGGGTTGGTTCTGCCTCTCCACGAGTG